TAACTTATAAGCTGCATTTGGGCAAATGGCGTTAAATGATCAACAGTTTCTAATGCTTTATTCATGTACTGACTAGCAAAGACATTTTATAAAATGACTACTACCTGGGATTACAAATGCAATAATTGTATACATTCTCTTATACTTGTTGGCTAGTAGTGGTTAATGCCTCTCCAAGTATTACCTACCACAAGAAGCTACAACTTCCTTACTTAAAAAGGCCCTTAATTACTGTGCTGGATTCTCTTTCTTACAGACAATGTCCTGCAAACTATCAAGCTCATAATGGTTCTCTTCAGCAGTTTATTTCTTCCCTGAAATATCCTGTTGAAATCCATAATCATTTTGACAAAACCCACACAGAAAGCAAGCCAATAATTTCCCTGGCATTTGGTAAATGCGGCAGAAACCATCATAAAGCACCACAATGTAAAAATAATGATTTAAATGTATTAAGTGCTGGCTCTGAGCCAGCTCCTGTTGTAAGCACTTCACATGTATTAATTCATTTAATCTCCACAACCACCATATGAAGTGGGTACTTTTATCACTCCATCCTACAGATGAGCAAAACTAGGACCATAGAGTTTATACAATCTGCCAGGTTACACAGCTAGCAAGTTGCAGTGCCAGAACTGGACCCTGACAGTAAGGTTGCTAACCATGACATCTCACTACCTTAATGACACTTCATGAGCCTCACTGAATGTAAAGGTGAAATCTCAAGCACTTTCCCTGGCCAAAACTACCATATGTAATCTTGGACTAGGGTAGAGGTAGCAAGACTTTGAAAACATGTGCTTCATCCCTTACCCTCATTTCCCAAAATGATATCGTTTTAAAACAAAACAAAACAATTAAAAATGAATGTGAAGAAGGTTCGAAGTCTCAAAAGAGAAATGCAACTTCCTTGCTGTCATGATTTGAGGTACAAGAGGGAACAGTATATTCAAGCTTGGAAAAGTTTTTTTTTCTTTCTTTCTTAAGAAAAATTTTTTAAAACCACTGTGAACTTCAGGAATCTTGAGCTAAAATGTAACTTAGATCAATATAATCCAAACTGTATTTCTAAAAGGAGGAAACTATCATCCAAATGTTAAATGGTTTGTCAAGGTAATAAGGTTTAATGGCAGATCTCCTAATTTCTGATTTGGGATACTTTTTACCTCCCTCATGCTTGCAATTAAAACACAGCTTGCAATGGGACAAAACTTCACATACCACCTAGCCAGTGTTTCAAAAGTCTATTTGTAAACCGATTGTGGGTTTCTATGAAAAACTGCATTCCAAGTTTCCGGCCAGGCCCCAAAAGTCTGCATAGTACCCTGATAGCCTCATTTCAAATACACATTTTACCTAACTTTCATATACAGTATCATTTTTGTGTCAAATCCCACACCTGTTTTAAATTCAACCTGGAATACAGGACACCAATGTCTACAGGTTATGCACATGGCCTCAGACCACAAGCAGCTTCCTCTGCCTTGCCAAGTTGACAGATGTGGTGATGGCATAGTGTGTGTGTGTTGTGGCGGGGTGGTGGGGGCAGTTTAGGGGCACAGATTAAGGAAGAGCAGTACTAACACCATTGAATATTTGCAACTCACCAAATTTATATTTAGTGGAGAGGAAACTATAGAAGTCAAACATGCCTCGGATGTCAAAGAAAGGTGCTTCCCCTGGCCCCCTTTCTCCCTACCCTACATTGTGAGTTCGGGATTTTTTGAGGACTGTATCATTCTATATCTAGCTACCTGGACTGGCACCCACCCAACCACCAGGCATTATTCCATTCAGGAAAAATGCTTTGCAATCACATGACTTACAATAACTCAGACACTTCTATATTTTAATTTATATATTTAGTAGTAATAATATCTCACAATACAATCCCTAACGACATTTTTTCAGCTGCAATGAATCATTATATATGAGTCATAATAAACTATAATGTTATCAAGACTCTGAATAATAAAATGATCAGTGATATAGCCAACATTTATTGGTATATTAAATAAATCTGAATTATGAAAAGGAAAAAACAACAGGTCAATGATGAAGAAAATGTCTGCAACATTCCTGAGTTTAACTGAAGATCACCATCATGTAACATCCCCAATTTAGTAATGGTAACATAGCACACTAAATTAAGATAATTCCACTGAATTATTAAAGTGACAATGTAAGAAATATTTGAATGTTGTGCAGCTTCTGAACTGAAACCAGCAAGTACGTTCTTGGCAACTCAGGGCCTGATTAACCTACCCTGAAATAACCCTGTTATTTCTTATCACTGAGCATCGAACTGACCTGCTGACTGCTATCATCACTTCCACTGATGTAAGAAAGAAAGCTTACATCCATGTATCTTAAAAGTTTTCCTTCTTTTCTCTATTTGCAGTTGTCTGTAGTACTGTCTGGCTGTGAAACAGTTATTTAATTTTCCAAACATACCTAGTCCACTGGTGTTATGTTTCAGATTCTTCTTCCCCTTTAGTGCAGGATGGGCACTACAGAATCATTTCACACATTGAAGGAGTACTTATCTCCCTATACACTTGAAGGCGTGAAGGCAAACTTCCCAAACTGACGTGCAATTCCATAGGCATTTATGCCCTAAAATAACCCTATAATAACCTCTATTTTACCTTCCATTTAAGAATGAAGATATGATGTTCATTTTAGAATTAAGCAAGGTAGGGAATTACTGCTCAATTGAAATAGAAAAAAAACACATTCGATTACAGAGCATTCTCGAAATACCTTAATACTTCAAAAGAGTCAGGTAAGAGGCTAGACTTACCTGATGGTTGGCATCATCCAGGGTATGAATATTATTTAAATTGATCCCTGAGTAACAGCATGGAAATTACTCATCTTTAAAAATTAAAGTGAGTTTCAAATTTTTACATTAAATTTACTTTGCCTATTTACAAGAAAAGGAAGAAAACTGCGATTCTGATTTAAACCTAATCCAAATACTCAAGGTCATACAAGTGCTAAAGTTTTTATTAAACTGAATTTGGTAGTAGTTTCTTTAAATTCATATTATGTCAGAACTAGTCACAAAATTAGATTTGATTTATTCAGCTTATAAATGCGTTATTGTTGCAATAAAGTATGTAATTTTACTTTCTGGTTGAATACTAGCTGCCCCTAGTTTCTTCTTCCCTTGTTTTCCATCAATACTCTCTGCTCCCTTACCTCCCTCCAAAAACAATACAGGTAAAAATTAAAATAACTGGATTCTTCACTTCTCCAACTTAGACTCTTCAGTATAATATATAAGACGCCAGATGCAGCACCCTCTCCTTACATAATAGTAGGGGGTGGGGAGGGAATGTACTTTGGTCAAAATATGATTTCGGTTATTTTCAATTGTGTAGGATCACTAGTTGAAAAACTTCCTCTCTTCAAATATCTGTAACAAATAGAAAGCATTTCTAACCGAAAGGTTACCTTTAACTGAAGCAGGCAAAACTATCTGCACAGCCAATTGTGTGTGTGTGTGTGTGTGTGTGTGTGATCCATACATCTGAAGAGGGTTTTCAATTTCTAATGCGGCAGGGAAACTAAATTTGCTTTTACTTCCTCATCTTGACATCAAGTCAAATAAGCACGGGTTAAGCATGGGTTAAACTCTGCTGTAATATGATATTGTTACATAATAAAAGTTTCCTGTTAGCATTTACAAACACCTCCCAATATCCTCCATAGTGTTACTGGACACAAATTAAACCTCTAAATTAGAAGATTCACTGATTATGCACACAGCTGAAAAACAACGTAGCAACCAAAAGATAAATCTTTCTGAGTGCAAAATATTTTTTTTCTATTTTTTTTCCTTTCTGTTGAGTCCTTAACTAAAGGTTCCTATTTGATAGTTTTCGATGTCCTTGATCTACACAAAGTAGGTGTTGGAAGAAAGCTGATTGGTCAGACAACTGACTTATTATTTTACTGAATCTGACATAAAATAACCAGGTGCATAGAGGTTTGTCATAAATGCAACCTTCCAAGCAAATTGTGTCAAATAAAAACACACATACGATGCTTTTCAACATCCGGAAACACTTATTTCAGACATTAGTTGTTCTCGTTTTCATGTTGCTATTTTCCATAACTGTTTTACAGGCACCAAAACGAAGATACTCTCACAGCAATATACTGCATTCAAGAAGACAAGCATTCTTCTAGTTTCTCTTTTAAAATAAAAAGAATCTAAGCTCAATTCTCGCGAACCATTTTCTGTCAAAATTTTGCTCTCCCGTATTAAGGAGAACAAAATTTGACCAAAAATGCATACTGACCATCATTGATTTTACACGTAAATAATTACCGTTCTTTAAAAGTTGTAGGGCAGCATTTTTTTTTTCAGTCAAACTCAGTAACAAAGAACTGAGACCTCCACTAATAAATAACATCTTGAAATATACATGATTGTGGTGTCCCCGTGTCAGTTCAATGGTAACTGACACGCCCCGAATTTAACTGTACCAGACAGTTCTATCTGTCCCATCGCTGACCAAACAGTGCTTCTCTGTTTCTATTCATTATGTATTATACGAGGTCTAAACACCGACCAGTATGACGAGGGAAAAAATTACACTTCTTAGGATACCAAAGTGATGCATTCAAGATCTCTCTTGCAGTACATGCCCGTCCATAAGCACTAACAGGCATTTTTTTGATAGAGCTAAAATATGTTGGCCCCAAGCTCATTACTCTAAGAACCTTCAGGTCCCCTGTTCCTGCTGGTTTTCAGAAAACCCTGGTAAAAACCAGGCACTATCCAAACCTTGCACACCAAACTTGCAAACAGCCTTGTGCAATGATCAATAACCTTGGCTACAGAGTCATTGGCCCCAAATTCACGGTTCTGAAGACCAATGAAGCAAAAACCCAGACGAAATGCTAGCTGGAGCCCCAAAGAATTACCGCGCTTCCCCTCTGCCGCATGGAGGGAAGCAAAGGGAGAAGAGGAGAGGAATGAGGCTCACCAGCTCCGAAGATGCTCCGGTGACCTCTGGCTGCGCGGCGAGAGCTGGGGAGGGAAGGCGCTAGTGCAGCCGCGGCGGGCTGTGTGGACTCTGCCCCTGGTGCATTCCTCGCATTCCTGCACAATCTGTCGCCAGCCCAGGAGCCGGCAGCGCGCGTCCCCCGCTGTACACACACACCTGACTACCGCTGCGCCCCGAGCGGCCACGGCCGCCGCGGCGCCTCCACTGCCCGCGCTCGCGGTGTGTCGCACTCAGCCAACACGCAGCCAAATCCCGGCCCCGCCGCTCGCTCTCCGGGTGGCGGTCCAGGGGAGAGGGCCGGCAGCCTCAGCAGCCGGTGGGGGGGATACCAGATCCGCCAGGGAGGTGCCGCAGCTCCGCTTCAACTCCTGGCAGGGAGAGGAGGAAGCGGCGGCGCAGGAGGGCAGCGGCGAGGCTCCGGGCTGGGAAGCCGGGAGGGGTGGAGCGTGAGGATCCGCGGCCAGTAGAGAGGGGCGCACTGGGCAGAGGGGGTGGGCAGGACCGGCAAGGAGTGCAGGACTTCGGGGACAAACGCAAGACCGCGCGGGCAGCAGGGGCGTGGGAAGACGGGGAGGGGGCCAAGGTGCAGGATCTGGGGCTGCAACGACAGCCAGCCAGCCCCGAGGGCTGAGGAGGGCGGGCGTCCTGTGGTGTCGGGGGCGCAGGGGCCGCGGGGCGGCAGGCAGCGGGGAAGCCGCCGCGAGGGCGTCCAGCAAGGCTCAGCGCGGCGCTCAAGTTCGGGGCTGGGGGCTCCTGATCCACACAGCCCAGCGTAGGCAGAGGTCGTGCGCGGCGCGTACGGGAGACCAGGGAGAGGAATCGCCGGGAAAAGCAAATGGAGGGTGAAACTTGTGCGCCTGCCGGGGGGAGGGGAGCAGCAGGCGAGTGCGGGCAGGAACACGAGGCGGGGCAGGAAAGCCGCGGCGGCCGCCAGGCGCTGGGGACGGGGCAGCGGGAGGGAGGCCCCCAGCCCCCGGTGCGCAGGTCCCGGCCCCGGCGCGTGTTCGGGGCGAGGGCCGAGGGTCTCGTGGGCAGGAGTCTCCGCGCCCTCCCGCGAGCCCACACACTTACTTTCCAGCTTAGGCTGCGGCCGTCGTCGCTCCAGGGATCAGGGACATCGGCGCCGAGGGGTCGCCGCTGCGGCACCCGCAAAAATTAAAAAAGTGCCGCGGCCGCGCGGCTGCCCGCCCCTCCCTCCCCCACCCGCCCCCTCCCCCGGAGCGGCTCTCCCACCACCCCCGGCGGCGGCGGTGGCCAACTTGCCCCTCTACCCCTTGCCCATGGTGCCGCCTCCGCGGCCGGCGTCGACGCGGACTCAGCCCCGGAGCCCCCTCTACTACCCAGAGGCCGCCGCCGCCGCCCGCCTGGCCGCCAGCCCTCCCGCCCGGCCAGCCCCGGGCTCCCGGGAACGTCAGCACGCCGCCGTCCCCGGGCCAGCTCCCGCCACCCCATTGGCGGGAAGGAGAGGGCTGGCCCTCCCCATTGGCCCGGCCCTCATATTGAACGGGCCAATGGGAGCTGCGGTTTCAGGTCGCCATAGAGACCGATGCTGTTCAGCGCAAGAGGGCCTGGAGAAGGTGGGTGTGAGGCTGAAGGTGTCTCAGGTCTCGGGCGCGGGAGGGGGTGGCGGAGAGGACAGGGAGATTCCCCAGCGCTGGCTCTGAAATCTGGGGCAGGTTTTCCTTTGCCTTACTGCCAACCCCAACTGTGCCTGGTAGGGTTTGTCCCTGGTATCAAAGGTAGGAACAGCTGAGCCCTTAGACGTACCCCTGACGGTGAGAGCCCAGGAATGGGCGTTTCACTTTTCCTGCGTGTGGGGAGTCCCTGAGGCTATGCCCTTTGACCTTTGACATGTGTGCAGCTTCTGCTTCTCCAGGTGAGTCTGCACCCCATCCCTTCCATCGCTGCTTCCTCCTGACGTCACTGAGCCACCTAAATCCTACTTACGCTGTTCTCCCCAGCCACTCCCCCTTCCCTGAGGTGGATCTTGCCTCAACGTTTTGGGTCTTCAAACTTATAACACTTCTCAAAGAAGACTCAAAGAGGATTTCCTTTGAGGTTATTTTGGTAAGGAAACAAGGTGGCGGATTGTATGATAGATGCCAAAGCGTCAACACATGAGCTAGCCTGTTCCCTGATTCTCAAAGCAAACCTCTAATCTCCCTGTGGGCAGATATTTATTAAACACATCTGTGTGTACATCCTGCACGATGAGCTTGACAGGTGCATGTTCTTTCGCTTGAGAGGTTACTGGCTTGATAAAGATAGAGGAAATAGAAACGGTCCTTCACGCCTTCCGATGATTTCACAGAAGAGTAAGGGAAATGGATTACAGTTGATGGATTTTGTTTTCTATTTTCCAGTATCTCTTTAAATTTGATATGGAAATAACCTGAGGCATGAAATCAGTACACACAAAAATCTTCAGCTTTAATAATGTCTTCTACTTTAATTTAAAATCATTTTGTGCTAGTTTGTCAATACTAATTGTTTTGCCAATATATTTTGTATTTAGATATCACCTTCTTAAAGTGAGATTTCATGAACATATAAGGCTTTAAAACATGATATTGCTCTAGCTTATAGCCACTGATATTCTTACATTCTTTCTTTTGGTGATTTTACTTTTTTAAGACTAATCTTTTTAGTAAGGAGACTATGTTTACGTTACTGCCCCTCAAATTGGAGGGACCATATTGTGTGAAAAAGCTGATAGGATTTTGGAAATTACAAATATTTTGTTGAGAGAAACAGATTAATGTGTGTGCAAGCTGCATATGTCTCAGTATTCTGAATTTTAAGTTGAGTGATACGCTTTGCTACCGGTTTTTATCTTACTATATTTGAAGATTACAAAGATGTAACCTAAGAAATGTTAATATGGTGCCTTGATTGGAAAAAAAAAACCTCTCCACATTTGTAGTAAAAAAGAGGTGAACATGTGAATGTTCCCCCTAAATATTTTCAGAATTGGGAAGGGATCTGCAGGGGCCAGGAAGTGCTGTGCCATGGCTGGCCATCATGGAAATAGGCTGTTTTTAACTTCTTCTGGCTTTTTAGTATGTGTTTTTGTTTATATAATAGAAAAAGTAAACCACAAATTGTTATATAAGACACATGTTCAATGAAAAGATACCAAAGATTTTGCTTTTTTAAAAAAAATTTGAATAACATCAAATGAATGGAAGATGTGTCTAATGGGAAGAAAAAATGGGTCTTTCCTTTTCTCTTGACTTAGGCTAGCATAGAAAGAAGAAAAAAAAGCTTATTATTACTCCAGTAATCTTTTTGTGTGTGTGTTTTTTCTCTGATGACTATTTTGATATTGTAGATTTTGTGTTTGTCATAATTAAAATGTTTCTAAAATCCACCATGAATAATGTCCTCTGAAATAAGTTGCCACTCAACATTAATTTTTTTATTTTTGTATTTAGTTGAAAGGTTTCTTTTGAACTTGCTCTTGCGCTACTAAGGATTGCTATATAGTGTTAAAGAATCACTTCATTCCACTCAAAGTTCATGCTATTCAGACTTGGCTGTGTCTTCACTGATTCTCAATTCCTTTCCTCATCAGGAGGATGATTATCTGGAACTTATCCAAGAACATTATCCAGGCCACTTCCAAACCTGTCCTATGTTTGCTTTCCTCAAGCCCCCACTTTACGTGGTTTTCCTCCACTTCTGCAAATGATCTTGCCTCGTACTCTACTGAAGGATCCACCATGAGGTTCCTCAACTTAACTTTCCTAAAACCCAGTCCTAGTTTTCACACATCTGCACCTCCTTCAGTCATGGCTGAGAAAGGGTGTCCACATTTCTCTTCAAAGCTCATACTCCACTTATGCTCCTAAACATGAGCCATCTTCTCTCTACCAGGATTTTGCTCTATTGATTATAATTTATCTCTTACATGATGTGTTACACCCTCTCCTCCAAAGATTTTTCCTAAGTCTTCCAAACATCTGGCTTTTGGTAAAACCACCTTCCTTCTACCCTACCACCATCTCTATCTACTGGCCTTTCTTTTCACCAAGAAACTGTCTGAAGGGAATTTCTTGAGGTTTCTACTTTGTCGCCAATGTTTTGGCCCTTGAATACAACAGAAATGATTTTGAAGATTGTGCTGTTTCTCCTCAAAATCCTAGCTTATTTTGCCAATTAAGTTCTTTCCTACAAAAATGTCCTTTGCCTCCAAGTTGCAATGGCCCAATTCCAGATTTCCAGTAAAGGAATGAAACCATTGTCGCCTACCCTGAGGATCCACAGAAATGCAAATGACCAGCTTGAGAAGAGGATGATTTAAACTGCCAGCCTGGCCACCTTGGGAAAAGTGCTGGGAAGTAGGGGTGGGAAGAGGGCCTGTGCTCAGGCTGACACTGGGGCCCAGGGCAAGGTTAGAATATTAAGAGGTTTGGTGACTCCACCCTCAAGAACAAAAGTAAACAGCAGAAATTCGAACAACTTTTCAATTACCAGCTCAGAAAGAAGTCAACCTGAAACTTTTAAGATTATGAAAACTTTGTAACTTTCCAATGTTTATTATTTTCGTATTATCCCATAAAAATTAGTGGTAAATTCCCTAAGAAGCATAGCAGAGGCAGCAAGGAAGAGGAGGAAGCAGGAACACTGAGTCTCTTGTCATATCTGGATGTCTATGGAGGAGTGGGGGAGGTAAAGATAAAATCTTCAAAAAGTACACCAATATGATAATTTTGGGGTTTTCTTTTTAAAGAGGAATGTTAAAACAGAGGTGGGTGGCAAAGGAGGGAAAGAGAGTGGTGGAATAAGCGGGTCCTGAGAAGGGTTGCTAGGGCTTAATAATAGTTCTGCTCAGGTGGCTATGGTGGTTTCAGGATTGGCTGAGCCCCACCCCATCCCCATCCTCTGAATATATTATGCAAATCCTCCCATGACTCTGCCTAATAATTACCTGTAAAAACTTTCTGAAAGTTTCCTGGCCCTCCCCATTTTTGAGAGGGTGAGTTCTTTCTTACTGTATTGTGACCCTTGATACTCTGTCCCATGTTGTGGTTATTTTTGTGTGAGCCTTTTCCCCTGACAAATAGGATCCACATCGTGGTCATGACTGTGTCCCTCACTGCCTTAAACTACTGAAACACCTCCCACACTAAGAAAAGCCAATATTTAGTAGTTCTTTGTTTAGTTCTTGGGAGAACTTGACTTTGAATAATAAAAAATTGGAATCAGGATGTTGGGAGAGAATCAGGAAAAGTTGGGATTAGCTGTTCAATGCGGAAAAATCAGATAAAGTATGAAAGAGCAGAATAGAGGTTTTGAAACTCAGCTTTGCTAAGCAAGTTAAACAAGGGTTACTTTTTTTTGGTGTATGAAACTTCTAGGTTGTTCTGTCTCTTGGAAAACAGTGGGGTCATGAGATTTTAACAACTTCATAAAATCAGAATGGCGTCAAACATCTGGTATGTGTAATAGTCATGCTTCCTAGTACGTATATCCACAGCCCTTGAAGGAGGCAGCCCTGCACACCTCATAACAATGTACCTGGCATGGCATCGGCCCCTGTGGAGACCTGACCCATGTAGCCAACCCATTGCCCCCTAACTGGTAATTATGCCAATCAGATTATTTCCCAGGGAATTTGAAATTGAGAGGACAAGTGAACCAGAGAGAGCACTGTCTTGGTCCTGATGTTTTCTGGGTTCCTATTGATGGGACAACAATATGCCTACCCCAAAATGTGCCATTTTGGCATAAGGAATATTTTGAGCTGAAAGCAATTGAGAAATAGCAGATGCAAGAAAAACTCTTTCCCTTCTGCTTTTCTGTCTCAAAGTAGGCCATTACTTTCTATATGTAAAGTTGTCTCCCTCTCTACTACCAGGAAAGGATCTACTTGGAAATGACTCTTATTACTGGAGAGGACACTTATGCACATAACACACCTTAATAGACAACCCTTACTTATATGTTTCCTAGCACCTTTCCATAACTTCTCCCCTCAACTCTGTTCTCCACAGGAAGCCCCATACCCCCTTTCCTTTGTGTAGCCTCTTCACACTTTATCACTTCTGTTAAGACGATATCGGCCAAAAATTCTAATTGTCTCCTTGAGTCACATTTCTTTGTGAAGCTTTTGTGTACATATGTAATTAAATGTTTTTTCTCTTGTCAGTCTGTCTTTTATCAGTTTCATTCTCAGACATTGAACCTAGGAGGATAGAGGAAGTGTTTTTCCTTCCTTACACTATTCTCCTCATAAGGTCGTACTTAAATAAACTTCATTTCCTTTTTGTTTTGTGAGATTTTTGTTTCCTGTGATCATCCCTACTCCATTCTTTTCCTTGTTTGCCTTTAGTGAGTCCCTGTTCCTTGCCATCCAAGGCTTCATTTACAAATTATGCAAATACTTTACAACGAAAGAAAACA